TGTGTGTGTGTGTGTGTGTGTGTGTGTGTGTGTGTGTGTGTGTGTGTAGATGCCAGGGAGGTCATTAAATTACATAGAGAGGCTTGGGAAGACCTCTCTGATAAGGAGACATCTGAAAGAAAGCTGAAGGACTAAGGAGAGCGAACCATGAGGAGTCAGTGGAACGATTCATGTCCCCTCTAGCTCCTGCCACGGATGTTCATACATGAATCCTAATGGGACTCAGCAAAACAAAGCAAAGGGTTTACCAGCAACAGAACAAACCTTCCGTGGGCATTTTGCGACTCTCTTTTGTTAACTCTTCCTTGAGGTCTTGCCCTAGTTCCTAAGCGGCTAATTAACTAAAATGTATCTTCCAAACAAAAGAATCTCAGGCTAGGCTTCTTAATATGGCTAAGTTTCTAAGTATAATTCTTACAAGTCAGATTCCAGAATAATAGGAGCCACATATTAAAATATCTCCTTCCTTTGTCTTTTAACCTAACCCAGTATTTCTTTTCTAGAAATCTTTCCCAAAAGAATGATGCAAATGTGGACAATATTAATATGCAGAGATGAGCACTGGAATGTTATTTATAAAGTGAAAACATGAAAATCTAAACCATAAGATACTGTTTTATTAAAGTAACATAGCGGGGAACAATAAGTTGTTTAATGCTACAAATAATAATTGGTGACATGTGAATTGACTATAAGTGGTAGATAGAAGTAGAGAAAATGGTATCATGCAATGCATAGAATCTTAACTATGAGTAAAATTTGGGGGCAAATTAGAAGTATTTGTAACAAAATCGAGTGGTAGGTTTATAGATGATTTTTATATATTTTTCTTTTAAAATGAATGCTGTTGAAATATAAACTACATAGAATAAGATGCACATAATTTAAGTGAAAAATTAATAAGCATTGGCAATTATATAAACCCATGTAACCATCATCCGGGCTAAGATGCACAAAATCAGCCCAAAAAGGTTCCTTGTGGCTATTTGTTGTCAACAAATCTCACACACCTACTGACCTGATTTCTGTCACTATAAATGACTTTCGCCTATTCTGGGTTTCATATAATGGAATATACGGCAGTACAATAAAATGTACGTACAATAGAAAAGGATGTACTCTTGTCTCTGGCTTTCTTCACTCAGCATAATGTCACTGAAACTTCATGTTGTTGCTCGTGTCAGTAGTTCATTCCCCTTTTATTTTTCTGGTACAGTAGTACTCATAATTTGCTTATCCAGTTACCTCTTACTGGACCTTTAGGTTGTTTCTAGTTTGGGGTCATTATAAATAAAGCTGTTTTGAGCAGTTATATATAAGACTTTTTGTGGACATATGTTTTCAATTTTTGCTGATAAATATCTAAAAATGAAATCACTGGGCCAAATGGTAAGTGTACTGTCAGACAAATTGCTGAACAGTTTTCCAAAAGGGTGTATGCCATTTCACACTCCACCATCAGTATATGAGAGTATCCATTGCTTTTCATTCATAAAAAAGAGCAGATATTGATAGTTTAAATTTTGTCGCCATTCTAAATGCATGTGTAGCAATACTTTGTGTTCCCTTGATCAGTGATGATGTAGAAAACCTTTTCCCCTAACTGGCCATTTTTATATTTTCTTTTCCAAAAGGTATGTTCAAATTTTTTTTACCCATTTTTGAAAATTGGGTTGTTTTCTTATATAATTGCAAGAGTGACAGATAAATATTTCTAGATATGTAAACTCGGCTACAAGCCAAATATATCTATTACATATTACCTGGTGTAGTATTACCAGATATATGTATTACAGACACCCTCCCCCATTTGTGGTTTTCATTTTAATTTCCATGTGATGTCATTAGAAGAGCAGAAGTTGATTTTTTAAAAAATGTTGATTAAGTCAAGTTCATCTTTTTTTTTCCTATTATGATTAGTGAACATCTTTGTCTTCTTGATCAAACTAGCTAAGTGTTTATAATTTTCATTGATGTTTTAAAGAAGTAGCCCTTAGACTTATTATTTATTTTTATCTATTGAATTTATCTTCTCAATTTTACTGATTTTTGCTCTTTATAATTTCCTTCTTTATATTTCTGTTATGCTTAATAGTATCATCTTTTTTCTACCTTCTTAAAATGAAAGCTTAGATTACCAATGGCAGACATTCTTTTTTTCCAAGATAGGCATTATAGCTGTAAATTTATCTCCAAGCACTGATTTAGCTGAATCCCACAAACTTTGATATGCTTGTGTTTCCATTTTCATAGAGTTGAAATTTTATCTTACTTGCTTTCTAATTTTCTTCTTTAATTCATTGGTTATTGAGAAGTATGTTGTTTAATTTTCAAATATAGTGAATTTTCATATATCTTGTTATTAATTTCTTTTTTAATTTTCTTGAGATCAGAAGCTATATACTGTATGACTTCAGTCCTTTTAATTTTTCTAGACTTGTCTTATAGCCTAGTATGTGGTCTATCTTGGAAAATGTTCCGTTTATACTTGAAAAAAACGTCTATCCTGCCATTGTTGGTATATGTCAAATTGGTTTCAAGTTGTTTGATAGCATTTAAACCTTACTGACTGATTTTCTGTCAACTTGTTTTATTGCTGGGAGAGCTGTGCTTTTGCATCCTATTATAATTTTGTATTTTTCTATTTCTCCTTTGATGTTTATGAGTTTTTGTTTTTGAAGCTCTGTTATTGACTGTATCCACATTTAGGAATACATCTTTTTGATGAAATTACCCCTTTATCATTATGAAATGGTCTTTAAATTTCTGCTAATATTTCTTGTTCTGAAATATACTTTGATATTCGAATAGCCACATCACCTTTCTTATGGTAGTGTTTGCCTGGTGTATCTTTCCCCATTCTTTTATTCTTAGCCTATTTCTGTCTTTATATTTAAAATGCATTTATTTTAGGCAGTATATAGTTCTGTCTTGCTTTTTTATCCAGTGTAATTTCTGCCTTTTAACTGAGACAGCAAGCTATATCTCTTTTTTTCTCTTAAGTGATTACTCAAAGGTTTACAGTGTACATCTTTAACTTCTTTTTTTGTTTTTGTGTTATTCATTTTCGAGAGAGACAGAGACAGTGTCAGTGGGGGAGAAGCAGAGAGAGGGAGAGAGAGAGAAAATCCCAAGCAGGCTCTGCACTGACAGTGCAGAGCCTGACACAGGGCTTCAACTCCTGAAACCATTAGACCATGATCTGAATGGAAACTGTGCCCATATGTCTTTAACTTCTTAAGGTTTGCCTTTAAATAACATTATACTACTTCATGTGTAAAACAACATCCTTACCATGGTACATATACTTCCATTTGCTGTGCCCTACACTTTATGCTAATATTGTCATAGATTGTATTGCTACATATATTATAAGTCTTCAAGTACATTGTTATTATTCTCAAGTTGATTTTTAAAAAACAAAGTAAATGGCAAGTAAATGAAGATCTTGTATATTTATCTATGTATGCCATTTCCAGCTTTAAAAAAGGTGTTTTTTTTTTAATATATATCCAAGTTTCCATCTGGTTTCCTTTAGCCTGAAGTGCATCCTTCAATATTTCTTTTAGTAGATGTTTGCTAGTGACAACTTCTCTCAGCTTTTGTTTATATTTAAAGGTTTTCATTTACCCCCATGCTTGAAATTTGTTTTTTCTCAACTATCAAATTCTAGATGAACATATTTTATATTAGTCACTTCAAAGTTACTGTTCCATTGTCTCCTTGCTTTTTTATTTCTAGTGAAAAGTCATTAGTCATTCTTATATTTATTCCCCTGTATGTAATGGGACTTTTTCTCTGACTGCTTAATAATGATATACTTTCCTATGGTTTTTCTTTTGCTTATTGACTATGTAGGCTTCTTGGACATATGGGTTATACCTTTTATCAAGTTTGGGAAAATTTCTGCTTTTATGTCTTCAAATAGTTTTTCCACGGGAATCCATTTATATATGTATGTTAAGGAGATGATGTTGTCCCACAAGTCACTAAGTCTTCTCTTTTTCTTAAGCCATTTCTTCCTGGTGTTCTAGAATCTAAACAGTCTCTCTTGATAGGTTTTCAAGTTCACTGATCTTAATTTTTAAATTTTTTTTAGAGAGAGAGAAAGCATGAGTGGGGGAGAGGGACAGAAGGAGAGAGAGAGAGAAAATCTTAAGCAGCTCTGTCCTGAGTGTGGAGCCTGATGTGGGAATCCATCTCACGACTGAAAGATCACAACCTGAACTGATTGCACACTCAGCCACCTGAGCCCCCCGGGCACTCCTCACTGATCTTTTCTTATCGAATGTCTAATCTGAGGTTATTCCCATCGAGTGAAACTCTAGAGAGGAACTTCATCTCTACAGTTCAATCTGATTCTTTTACAGGTTCTATTTTTTTTGTCCTTATGTTTTAATTTAAATTCACAGTTATATTTATAAGAGCTGTTTTAATATTCTTGTCTGCTAATTCTACAATCTCCATTATTTCTACATCTGTTTCTATTGATTCATTTTTCTTTGACTTACGGGTTATATTTCCAAACCTCTTTGCTTCTCTAGTCCTTTTTTGATTGGTTGCTGGACATGGTGACTATTACTTTGATGAATCTGTGCATTTTGTTTTCTTTTTTTTAAAGGATGTTGTATTTTGTTTTGAGTGCTAGTTAGATTTAGATTGTGATTCAGCTTAATTCTTTCAGGCTTTAAACATAAAACGTTTATTTATTTAATCGGAGAGAGGGAAAGAGAGGAAGAGAGAGAGCATGAGCAGGGGAGGGGCAGACAGAGAGGGGGAAAGAGAGAATCCCAAGCAGGCACT